GAAGTACCCCTTGGAAAAATCTCGGAAAAATCGAAAATTTTTTTTTGTTGTTTATTATTAGCAATGTTCTTCAGATGTCTCATTTCTTTTAAAAAAATGCCTTTCTAAAGTGCATAATCTTTTGGGATTGACTGTATAGCCAATACATCCTTAAACGATTTTGAGAGAGGGAAGAAGGACCGAAAGATCGATGTGAACACACGTTTGATCGGCAGGTATTTCGAGGAGGACGCGGAGGTGACCACGAACGGCGGTTACCGATCGATGAGCGGTACGCGGATGAGCCAGCTTAAAACCGGAACTGGAAGTGGAACGGGCGTTGGCGGGTGCAGGAACCGGAGCTACAGGTTCCGGAGCCCCGGGGCACCGCTCGACAGGGTGCAACCTCTCTCCAGACATCCCACCGAGCCGCGGCTCACTATTATCGATTTCAATCAGCTGACAAGGGGCAGTTTGGAACTGGCTACGAGCAGGAACAGGGCAAAGGTCGCTCGGAAATTCGACAAGACGAACAGATAACGATCTCTTCGTCCTGAATCATTAAAAATTATCAAAACCCTCGTTCATCCGTTAGCGATTGCAGATGCATCGAGCGGTAACGAAACGAATGCGAGTCAGTGGTTCGAGCGCGACGTATAAAATTGTAAAGGGTTGCTTCTTTGTTCCCGCGCTACTTCTTTTTATATGCTTCCACTGCCCCGTCGATTGGTTCCTTCTACATAACGCAAGACCCTCTTCGTTCGATTTAACTGTATATTGTACGTGTACAAGTACGATGACAAATGAATATACGTAACATACAACGTGCATTATCTTTTCTAGCATCACGTATGGCGTAGTGAGACCCTTGAACGAGATTTAATTTGTTTCCACCTACGAGGTGTTCTTGGTATCGCGAATTAGACAGAATGCCAAAGCAAAGAATCGTTGATGTTCTAAAATAGCGAAATCGAATCTCGACTAAGGCGATCTCGTTTAAGAGTGACTACTACGGGCAGCCTTGAGAAAGGTGGTTCGTGTAAAGAGGTAAAACAATTGATATACGTAAATATAATTGCAAGATGTATTCACGTACCTGAATGGGAGGAAGTACGTTTCCTAAATAGTGAAGCAACTCGCGGGCTTATCGGACGAAGAGGCAGGTACTAGACGGGCCGACACGACGACGGCACACCTGGGATACGGAACTTAATCTAGCCGATCGCGGCTGTGTCCATGCATCGAGCATACGACAAACGGGACATCCGGTGCACCGATTTATCGAGCGTGCCACTCGTCGATCACAGCGAACGGGCAATTCTATCTTCTAGTTTTATCTGAACAAAAATATATTCGAAGGACGTCGCGCGTCGTAACACGGGGCCGCGGTCACGCACGCCTCTGTACGCGTGTGTACATGTAAATGTGCGTGTATATGCGTGAGAAGAATCAACGTGATCGCGTAAACGGCTCGTGAACGCGTCGCGACGGCCGACTTTTGTTCATATATTATTATTGTATCGTGATTCGGTGTGTGATAGTATATGCGTGTGGCGTGTAACCAACAACGTGTCAATCAATTGGAACTGAAGAATGAACTAAAACGGAAAGAAATGAAACTATAGCGAAAGAAGGGAGCAGACAAGCGGCCAGTAGCTCTTCTACTCCTGGACTCGAGACGAAACTGGCCCGTGGGCCGTTCGGCTCGACACCGCCTCGGCTTCTCCTCCCTCTACACCCTCTCTCTCTCCACGGCCGGCCTACACCCCGACGACCTACCCTCTGCAACCCCTCGAGCTCACCGACGATTCCCACCCTCTCTACACTCCTCGCCCGCCGCGACCGACGGAACCCCGGTACTTCGGGGGATGCGAGATAGTACCAGGGCGGTGGTCGTTGAACCAAGTATATAGACGAGCTGTCTGCGTCGTACCGGTTGCGCACCGAATATCCCTCTATCTCTCTTATCTTCTCCCAATTCCCTTTCGCATCCCCTACTCACGATATATGTTCCCTCTTCTCTCTCCATTAGTCCTCCACCCTTCTTTCTCCTTTATTCACATCCCCTATGATCACCTATTAGTACCAACGTAAAAAGATTGAAATTAAAATTGTACCGTTTGATATCAGCTACACAGAATGGATGCATTTTTCTTCTAACTCCATTGATATGCCAGTTCTTAAGGAATAAAAAGATATCGTGCACTCGACAAGTGCTGCCGCTTGGTCCATTATCCGTGGTGAAAGATCGAATTAAAAGTTCGAACATCGGTCTTCCTCCGATTCTATACAATTTCCTTCGACCTCCAATCATTTAGGGTAATTAAAAAACAAAGAACCATGTGCAAATGAAATTTTGACAATTTTAATAGGCTAGACTTAGATTAGTAGGCCATAAGCGCAGTTCTCTGCTTCGCACATTCAAATTACGTAGTCGTGCAGATGGTTGCGCTCATGGCTACGCGCAAATTCGAAGTGCACAACACAGCGATTACCTAATACGAGTCACCTACGGGATAGAATTTCTTTTCAGTGTATCCGTATACAAATAATTTATCCAATTAGGAACAAAGTATTGGCGTTGGCAAAAGATATTTGTAACGATAGTAGATTTTCTTCAAATGCTTTTGGCTGAATTCAATAATTTAAGAATTAAGAAGTTTAATTATTAATGGTACTTGTTGCAATCTGTTTTAATGAGAACAAGTGATATTTCAAGTATGCATCTTGAAGATGCTTCAAAAAATGTTTGATTGCATGAAATTTCATACGAATTAAATAATTGTATAATCATAAAACTCATTGAACAGTACTACGATCGTAAGTTCTTTGAATGTAGACTTATTGTTAAAATACTAAGAAATAAGTACGGGATCGGGGAATACTTCCTCTCACATTTATTGTTAAAAATTATTAATCATAAATCAGTTTATTTATTGAAGTATATCACTAATCTAATTATCACATGTAATCAGCAACTATTAAGTAATAAAACAATTAGCTCGATTTCGTACAATTTTTGTTTTATTTAAGTAATGACCATTGAATGGAATCATTAGCCGTCTCGAAATCGAAGAACAACAAGAATAGATTCTTTTTTTTAAATTTGTAATCGGAAAGAGTACGGGCCGTTTTCTAATAGTTATCCGGCAAAGATTAGTCGCTGCTGACCTGGGAATGCCTTCCTTATCTTAGATTTATGCTTTCATGTTTTCAATCGTCAACCTCGAGAGTGATGGTTTCCTGTCTGACAGTGAAACCGAAATTCTTCATTCCACTGTATCTCAATTTATGCACGAAGTACCTCCTCGGAGACGGAGAACGAGATGAAGGGTCGACTCCTTCTGGATGTTATAATCAGAAAGTGTGCGTCCATCTTCTAACTGCTTTCCAGCGAAGATCAATCTTTGCTGGTCCGGTGGAATTCCTTCTTTGTCTTGAATTTTAGCTTTCACATTTTCGATGGTATCGGACGCCTCGACTTCCAATGTGATAGTCTTCCCAGTCAGAGTCTTAACAAAAATCTGCATTCCGCCTCTCAGTCGTAGAACCAGATGAAGGGTCGACTCTTTCTGGATGTTATAATCGGAAAGCGTTCTTCCATCTTCGAGTTGTTTTCCAGCGAAGATCAATCGTTGTTGGTCCGGAGGAATTCCTTCTTTGTCCTGAATTTTGGCCTTGACATTCTCGATCGTGTCGGAAGCCTCAACCTCGAGGGTTATCGTTTTGCCTGTCAACGTCTTTACAAAAATCTGCATTCCGCCTCTCAGTCGTAGAACCAGATGAAGAGTGGATTCCTTCTGTATATTGTAATCAGAGAGTGTGCGCCCATCTTCGAGTTGTTTTCCAGCGAAGATCAGTCGTTGTTGGTCCGGAGGTATTCCCTCTTTGTCCTGAATCTTGGCCTTGACATTCTCGATCGTATCGGAAGCCTCAACCTCGAGGGTTATCGTCTTGCCTGTCAATGTCTTGACAAAAATCTGCATTCCACCTCTCAATCGTAGAACCAGATGAAGAGTGGATTCCTTCTGTATATTGTAATCAGAGAGTGTGCGTCCATCCTCCAGCTGCTTTCCGGCAAAGATTAATCGTTGTTGATCCGGAGGTATTCCCTCTTTGTCCTGAATTTTGGCCTTGACATTCTCAATCGTATCAGAAGCCTCGACTTCCAATGTGATAGTCTTCCCAGTCAACGTTTTCACAAAAATCTGCATTCCACCTCGAAGGCGGAGTACAAGATGCAGAGTGGATTCTTTTTGTATATTGTAATCAGAGAGTGTGCGTCCATCTTCGAGTTGTTTTCCAGCGAAGATCAGTCGTTGTTGGTCCGGAGGAATTCCTTCTTTGTCTTGAATCTTGGCCTTGACGTTTTCAATCGTATCGGAAGCCTCAACCTCGAGGGTTATCGTCTTGCCTGTCAACGTCTTGACAAAAATCTGCATTCCGCCTCTCAATCGTAGAACCAGATGAAGAGTGGATTCCTTCTGTATATTGTAATCAGAGAGTGTGCGTCCATCTTCGAGTTGTTTTCCAGCGAAGATCAATCGTTGTTGGTCCGGAGGAATTCCTTCTTTGTCCTGAATTTTGGCCTTGACGTTCTCAATCGTATCGGAAGCCTCAACCTCGAGGGTTATCGTCTTTCCAGTCAAAGTCTTGACAAAAATCTGCATTCCGCCTCTCAGTCGTAGAACCAGATGAAGAGTGGATTCCTTCTGTATATTGTAATCAGAGAGTGTGCGTCCATCTTCGAGTTGTTTTCCAGCGAAGATCAATCGTTGTTGGTCCGGAGGAATTCCTTCTTTGTCCTGAATTTTGGCCTTGACGTTCTCAATCGTATCGGAAGCCTCAACCTCGAGGGTTATCGTCTTGCCTGTTAACGTCTTGACGAAGATCTGCATGATTCTCTATGAAAAAATAGATTGGAAATGTCATTTAATGAAATGTAAGATAATTATGTTTTTCCAATAAATGTCGTCTAATCTATGCACACAATGGCTGCTACTGACTCATCAAGTTTCCCTTACCCTGGATAAGCACTAATAAAATAAATAGACAAAATCTGCTTAATATATGATCATGCGATTTCTTAAAATACCTACACGGTTGTTAATAGTCGCGATCAATCTTTGATGCGTACGTGTAACGTTTCGGCGTCGGTGAATCAATAACCGCCATTTTACGTTCGTTCACTACGTAGCGAACACGTAGTACATTATTTCTAAAATTTCTAACTTTCAATACATTAACTTCGAATCAGTATGAATTACTTTATTTAGATTTAGATATGGAAAAATATTCTTCGAATCTGTTTAAAGAACAGAATTTCAACTAAACCGTTATGTCCACGCCCATTAAAAGATAACCATATAAAGTAGTGAACGATTCTTCCTGCGATATTTTGGCTTGCTTATCAATTAATAGTAATAGTAAGCAGATGAATATTCTTACCTTCTTCGGAAGTAGTTAATGACGCAGCAAAAATTTTCAGTAGAACGTACGAGGATCTTGTCTTCTTACTTTGAAGACACTCACTTGACTGCAATCTGGCGTAAAACTACACGGAGATCACAGGTAGCGTCTTTTATCCCATCGATAGCCATACCGAACATGCGCAGACATCCCTGACGTAGCTAAACGCGATTGGTTAACGGGACGAAGAATATTCTTTGTTCTAGAAAGTCTTCTGACGACTGCTTATAAAATTTATTTATAATTATATTAGGTTCTAAATAATGGGAAAGAGGATCCGAGAATTTCATTTAACTGCGGTTTCCTTTGAACTGTCTGACTGTCACATTTTGATGGCAACACGCCACTTACGAGATGGCGCAGAAACTATGGCAGAAGTTATTTAAAACAAAGGAAAGAATGACTCATCGTTTTTCTGAAAATCACTAATCATCACAGAAAATATGCTCTTTCCAGCATGTTCGTTTTACAAATATAAGCTACCAGAGATAAATTTTCTCTCTGATGCTATTGCAAATAAATTAGTGTTTTAAATGAAAGCATGGAAAGATTACCGTAGGATAGATGAAAATTTTGTTTATATGATCGTTTTACATTAAATAATGACAATCTGTAAAACAAGCATTTACTTACGGTTACTATTTACAATATTGATTCAATACTCCATTATTAACAAAGAATCAGCTTCGATCCATTACAAAATCGCGTGGTTTACAACAAATCGTTAGCTTTGTTGGTATAAAAAACAGAAAGAAAATGAAAACTCGCAGACTTTGTAAGTTCTAAGAACAATACATAAATTCATTGTTCGAACGTGGAAATGGAGTCCATCTCGTGGAACAAATCGGATATTGTTCTTAAAAAGTTATAATTAGAATGGCACAGCGGACCTTCGACATCTACGTTAGGGGACTATGTAATTGCATATTCTTAATACTGCAAAAAAATGAATTATTCGTCGAGGCTCCACACGCATATCTTGTTCAGTTTGCGAATTTTCTTTTTAAAATATTTGCAGACGTTACAACGTCATGTTACATTAATATTTGGTCCAAAATACAATAAATTAACGATACACGTTGCTGCAGTTGAAATATTTACAGATGTAGTTTAATACTGTAAAAATAGGAAACAGAAATGGCTTAACACTCGATTTATGTCCGCTACTCGAAGTAATAAGAACAATAGCATATTTATTGGTAATGAAATTGTAAAAAAAGGAGATTTATTGAAAAGACTAGCTGTGCTAAACGAAGTTAATGCTACGTAAAATCATTATTCCACGAGTTCTTAATTCGTTTTTCATATTGACTCCTCTCTATTGCGTTTTATTAAAGAATTAATACAATATCAGTCTCAGTGCCATCCAGAAAAATAAGTTAACTTCGTTGGCATGTCAAGTGTCCTGCTCTTGTAAAAAAATTAACAATCGTAATCGTACAATCGGAGTGCTATTGTGTGTGTGGCCTTCGTCTTACTAAACGATGATTCATCTCGTGATAAAAGCACTTTTGCAATATTATAGTAATGCAGAGGAATATGGTAGTGAAAGAAACCTTATGATTGTGTCTCATACATGTTCAATTTATTTAAAGAGAATTTGCATTGTGTACAACAGAAGTTCCATACACTGTGTCAAAAAAGAAAACTAACTAAAATTACGAACATCTTCAAAAATAATATTAGACTCCCTGTTATATATATTTAGTTCAAAATAGGAAATTGGAAAGAAAGAAAAATGTTGACACGTGCACGTAAAACCCTCATTGGACATCAAAGCGTCTATAATTGATTCTGTTTTTATTGGAAACCCTCTGCGTGAGCTTGTGACACGCGGGATGCGGGTGTTTAAAAGTTGCTGTTGCTGTTGCTGTTACGTGCAGAAGAACCTGCACTCTCTTTATGACTACACACACAACATACACACGAATTCCTCGATACAAACTAGCCTACTTTCTTAACTTCAAAAACTTATAAATGTTCAGTTTCCTTTTACCATCGTTTCTATTAAACTCCTTCATCGTACACATCGCGACTTCCAAATACGTTCTAAGTAAATAATTCGAAACTAATTAACGCGGACGTCATTTCCTTCGACAAAATCCTAGTGCTGGGAACTAATCGTACCAATTGCCTGTTTGGGAAAGATCTCAAGCATCTGAAAAAGCCTGCAATAACTCATTCGCTTCGATCATGTTTCTTCATTACCAATAGATCGATTAATTAAATATTGCAATTTCTTATTCCGAAATTCGAGAACGTACTTAATGTTTAAGTAAAGAATTAAAGATGTACACGTCATTAAAATCGAACTTAATGCTAGTCGAAAGCCACGTCGATCTCATTTACGTCCGACAACCATCAAGGTATTATGACATCATTAACTCATTTTTTGTAACACCCAACTGGCCCGCTAATCAGACAATTATGATACAACGGCCCATTAGTCTCGATTTATCTTTCCATCATAAAAACACCCGGATTCAACAAGCAATTGACACGAACGAAATTTTGTTTCTTACCGCTATATAAGTTATGAGAAAATCGATAAAGCGAATATTTTGGTAGATCTACTTGGAATCTGTCTCCATTTTGATCTCCTCCGTTTTTTTATCTTTCTTCGAAGCCTCGCTATCGGTTCCCTCGCCGTTGCTGTTATCGCGTCTCCGTTTCCTGGCGTATCGGCCCTTGTACTTCGGTGGCGGAAGTTGTTCCATGCCTAGAACTTTATGGATCTGGCGGAACGCGACTAATCGCAGAGCGTGCTGGGCCGATGCAGTTATATCTTCCCTCTGCTGAGCCGTCATGTTCCCTATTGCATCTACTGGCTCCTTCTCGCATGGATCGGATAATCCTTTAAATAAATAATTAAGTTGAACCTATCGATCCATACGTAAACATTCCAGGCAGATAAATCACATGTATACATATACATCAGATTGCCAATCATCCATGCGCTATTACAAAATTCCACTGAGACGTCAAAAATCGAAATACTCAATTTTATAATCTACGGTAGACTTCGTAATATGCTCAGTCTCGTCATCGGATCATCATTTGTTTAAGAACGTGATTACTTCTAATTAACGAGGTTTCTACTCTTACCTGGACTCCCTGGAAGCAATATTCCTCCCGCAACGCATTCCAACAGTCTTCTTAAAGCCTCGCCGGGGCTGAGAGGTCCTCCAGCGGTGCTAATGACCTTCTCGGTAAGTAGTTCCAATGCCTAAAAGGAATCGAATGTCTCCTTCAGTTCTATGTCGTTTAAAATACAAACAGATGCTCACGTCATTTCTTTCGATACTAACCCATGGGTTCAACGGTCCCCAGGTGGGTACACGGTTACAAAGATCGCGCATTATGCGAATAACCATTACGCAGCTCTGCAGGGAAGTAGCTCTAGCCTGTTAAATATGATCAGTATTTCAGTAAATACAATTTAATGCACACGTAAAAGTCTCTGTGTCTTCTGGAGACGATGCGACGCCCTAAACTACTACCTTCAAATTTTGCTTTGTGTGGGCTTTAGCTATCCTTCCAGCCTCGTGCCTATAGCTCCTAAGTGTTATTTTAGCCCATATCAAAATTATCGGGTGTTTATGAAACATGTTCCTGGACAATTAACTCCTAACATAACATTTAAAAAAAAAGGTACAACGCGCCACGAAAACCGTACCGCTCGTCAAACTGGCAAATTGTGTGAACTAACGAGGCTCAACTGATAATTGGAAAAACACCCGATATACTTATGACACCACTGCGTGCTTGTGCTTGTCTGTCTTTTAATATTCAAATGCTTTGGTTCATGTTGCGCGTCTTGCAGAGAATCATCAAATGAATGAGTACACATATCTTACAAAAGAGATTCGAGAAACATTGGAAACTTCTAAGACAGACCTAGAACAGACTCAGTCCAGGCTACAATTGCATTAACATTAATCCAGAATAATGAATAAGCTCATAAGCATTGTAAAACAATCGAGTGCGTTACAAACAAAACAAACAAAACTACATAGTTTTAAGAGAGTATTCTGATCTTTACACAGTTTCTGCAAGTAGTCTCCTATTATTCTGGATGTTGACGGTTCGAAGCGAAGCAAATGTAAATGTGTTCAATGTGCATCGACAGTCGGAATGCTACAATTTACACTTACATAGTGCTTAAACTCCTTGTCTAAAGATATTTGATTTCACGCCCGATGTTCCCTTCTTTCTAATCATGTCACCACTCATACGGTTTCTATTTCTTTGTCAAACTACCGAAACATCAACCACTGTACAATCCACTTATAACAACTATATGTAATACATAGATAAAACAAACGATTCTCGCAAAAAGAACGTGAACGTTGCACGTGAGACCTGTCAAAGTGGATTGGCGGAGCTAAGTCGAAGCTTGGTAACATCAAACGTGACCAAATAAACGTTTCAGACAAAATCATATCGGCGAGAGGATAGATGGTAATAAAAATAAAATTGTTTCGTCACAAGGCTGGAAGTTCTAAGACTGCTCTTTTTTTCGGACAGAGAGAGAGAGGACAACTTGCCACGCGTTTCCACCGGTATTACCACGAAAAAATAATAGAAAACAGTCGTTAGCGCCGATAAAACGGCGGCGACAATTCGTTATCTTGAACTGAGGAGTTGATTGATTCAAACCTGAAACCACTTGGCATGCCTGAGTGCAGCTAAAGCCTCCAAACACTTAGCCTTGGGAAGTACATCTGGTGGATCTGGTTTGGTCACAGCGGGCGCCGCGGGCGTTGCTTGCGGTTGAGCAGCTCCCTGTTGCTGCTGTCCAGCATTATCTGAGATTCCAACAAAGAAAGCACAACACGCTTAGACAACACTTAGAGTGTTTGATCATGCCCAATTTGGGTTTTTTTCCCTCTATACAATTACACTTGGAACTCAGTTACGTTATACTTGAGAGCACAGCCTAAAGCGTTCTCATTTAAACAAAAAACAAACCTAATCGAATGGAGTACACGACAATGGCGCGTCGCTCCTCTTCGCTAACGTCCTTTATTTCGTATTAAAAATATATGTATATTAAAAGAACGACCGACGTTTCTCGGCGTGTCGACGGTGTTACTTCGAGAACGAACGCGTTTAAGTAGCACCGTCGGAAGAATCGTCGGTTAAGGACAAGGAGTCGACCGCGCATTGTACGTTCTGTGCACAGCATTCGACGATAGAGGGTTCTCTTTTAAATTATTAATGCATGATCAAAAAGTCCATAGTTTTAAGATTGCCTCAGCGTTGTTTCCTCATACCAAAAGCGTGTCCACGCTTGTACTAGCATATATATTTGATTTTCCTCGATGGAGACTCCAGCTTATCATGGAAAACAACTTATCAGACGCTACGAACGAACTTAAAACGAGAAACTAGCTGTATCTAAAGCCGTATCAAGTTTACGCTCTCTCTTTTCCGTTAAAAAAATGGCCGGGAATTATTTGTGTCTCTGTATTACGCTCTTACATTCCTTTCTCTGTCGGCACTTAACAATACTCAGTCGTGGACACACTAAATTGCGGCTGTATCGGTAAGAAAAAAAGGTGGAATCTTTTATGTTAGAGCGTATATACACTGGCAACCGTCGAAGTCCATGGCTGTCCCTGCATCGGTCCTGGTGCTTAAAAAATTCGACAAACAAGCTTTCGGGCCATGAAAAGAACAAGCAAGATAAACCACGCTTAAACGACGGATTAGTACGAAATTAAGAAATGTTTATCTGAAAGATTTCTGCAATTATTATCGGTTATCCTTTTCTTGGCCGCCAGGAAAATGTAAAACGATCAAATCACCTGCAGCGGCGACTGGTTTTGGCGTCTCGCGCATCAACGGGCTGGTGAGGGTCACGCTAACGGTCACGCTGCCTCCCGAAACGGTGAGCGCCGCCGATTCCGGATGCTTTCCAACGTTGTACGCGTCATCCGGAGCGACAGTTTTCAACTGTGCAGGCAGGATCTCGGCGACTTTGTTCAATAAAGTTCTGGAAAATAAATAAATATACATGAGTCTCGGGACTGATCAACGTCTCTTCTTCAACTCACCGTGTCGGCTTTTCCGCGCATAGAACCACTAGACAAACGTGGTTATCGCCAGAAAGCAAAAGTCCTTTCGCTAAGTTACCGACGCGCATTACGCCTCTCAATATCCTAGAATCTTCCTTCTCCTTTTGGAACGAGAACAAATTACCGTCGCTACCGTCTTCTTTCTGCGGCGGCGTCGTCGTCGTCGTCGTAGTCGTGGTTGCCGCCGTCGTCGTCGTCGCTGTCGTAGGTGTAGTCTTCTTCTTATCAGGATCTTCCTTAATCTTAATATCTGCATTTGGCAGTTGCGGTTGTTGCGACTGCTGCTGCGGCGTGGCTGCAGCTGGGGTCGTAGTGGCATTCGTAATAGGCGGCGTTACTTTCTTGCCTGAAAATATGAAATACTAGGAGAAGCTGAAATCGGAATGTGTCGCAAAGGGTAGATGGGACACAGCAGAAAAACAATTACCGGCCTCGGCTAACGTGTCAGAAACAAATTTCAACGCCTTCTCGGTGTGCGAAACTATTTTCTGAACTGCCAGCAGTTCCTGTTCCTTAGGATAAATGGTTGTGTGATGGGCTAGCACGTGTTTGTCATCCGAGGAATCAGGCCTTCTTTGAGGTCCGGGAAACATCATCATAGGCGGTGGGCCTGGGAAAGGCCGTGGAATCGGCGGCGCCCCAGGTCCACGTCCGTAACGCCGATACCATTCGTAATATTCACACTCCTCCTCGTACCGCCGTCTCTCCTCCCAATACATCATCTCTTCGTCCATCATCGGGCCCATCGGGCCCAACTGATTAATCTCCTCTCTACGGCGCAAGTATTCGTCCCGCATTTGTTGCCTACGCAACTTCTCCTCCAACATTTTCCTCTGCTTCAGGCTCGGTTTCATATCGACGACCAAATCCGGATTGACCTTCTTCTTGTAGGCGAATCTATGCCTCCGTCCTTTCATATGCATGTCTTTGGCATTAGGGTCATTAAATCTACACTCGCAAAGCTTACAATTAAAGCTTATTATCTTCCCGTCTTCCGACTTGTTCTCCTCGATATATTCTTGACCGACCGGTTGAATATCTTTCTCGTCAACGGACGCTTCCTCCACTGTTTCCTCCGTCGTAGAAGTGTCCTCTTGCTTGATTTCTGTCGCTTGATTCTGATTCACGGTTCCCAAGTTCCCAGCTGCAATGATACACGCAGTATTCGAATTATCAGGCTCTTAAGGTCAATTGCAACTGAATCTATTTAAATTTGATGATACTCACAAGCGACGAAATTGATCTTCGGAGTGGCCGTAACTATAGGCTTTTTAACTCCTCCGGCCGATTTAGCCGCCGCCGCCGGTTTCGGGTTAAGAACGGTCGGATCTGCGCTCGGTATCGGTTTCCCGAGTTTGGTATGCAGCTTAACGACCTTCTGATGCTTAGCGCCCCTGATGTGGGCAGCATAGGCGTCGTTTCCGGTACAGGTGACATCGCACAACTCGCAACGTAGACTGTTTCCTGCTCCGCGGGCTGGCGGCTGCTGTGGCACCTTGAGAGATGCCTCCTTCTTCTTGTGCTTCTGTCCCTCGAGGTGCTCACGGTACGTTTGGGGCCCCGCACAGCTGATCTTACAGACATCGCAATAGTGTAGTTGCTGAGGCTTGGGAGGTTGTTTCGGCCGCATTGCCTTCATCCCTCCCCCTCCAGTTCCGAATCCTTTCCGCCCGTAGCCCTGCCAACCTCCAGTCTTCTGGTTAGTCGAATTGCTGTTTGCACTCTGTTGGGCTACATACATAGTCGCAGCGCTATATAGCGCTGCGTCGTAGCCGGAATACGTTGTACTCGCCGTTTCTAAGGGAAATGAAATTGAAACCTCAAACTTTGGAGGAGTCAATCCTTCGTATTCATTGAACCGTTCTACTAACTTTTACTTATTAATACTTTATTCCTCTGACGAGGTGATCAAATTCTGAATCGACTAAGTAAAAGATAAATTCTGCTGAACTTTTAAACTGGCCAAGAGTTTAAAATATCAGCAGAATTCCAGGTATATCATTCATATGCGTAACTTCGAATACCAAGAGGATCAATTTCATGTTATTAGTGTGCCTACGTCACGGTTAGCAGGACATTTACAGAGGATTTTTCTTTTTTGGCGAAAAATATTACATAGATAAAATACGATCTACTGAAAACTTACTATTTGTCGCTGTTGATGGTGTAGCAGCAGGCGTGGCAGGCGCAGTGTACCCTGAGGAATAGGTTGCACTTTGGGTAGGATTCGACTGCTGATAAGCTGTGCTGGATGCCTGATACGTTTTAGCTTGTCCCGTGGTAGTGGCCTGCCTCGCGGTACCCGTGTAAGCACTGGTCGTACTGTATGCGGGCTTGGCAGCTTGGTAATGTGTCTCAGTGGTGGTATAAGTCGCCGCAGCCGCAGCAGGTTGTTGATAGTAAGTTTTGGTAGCGTCGTACGTAGCTGCTGGAGCAGCCCGTCCGTAACCGTAATCGTAAGTCTGAGCCACGGTACCAGGATTCGCAGCTATAAGAATCGTAAAGAGTTCGATCTCGGGAAATTGACCAGAGATGATGAAACGAAGAATCGGATAAAAGCTCACCGGCGTACGTGGTCCCGGTAGCGGCAGCAGCAGCAGCTGCTTGATACGTTTCGTAACCTGTGGCCGCGGCGGCGGCGGGTCGCTGAGTGTATGTGGCAGCAGTCGCCGCCGGAGTTACTGCGTATCCCGCTTGGCCAGTCTGATAAGCGGCTGCGCTGGTAGCTCTGTTCGAAAGAATAGACGGACTCTCTTACACGTAAGAAGTATAACGATAAAGAGGCGAACGGGCAAAACGAAAAAGACCTCTATCGGATCCGTGCCCGGGAGAGACGCTCGATGGACGCTTTACTCTCAGGCAAGAAATGGCGGCCAAGCCGGCTGGGCCCTCGCGTGCACCGATATTTAACGGAACAGTTATTACTCCCGCCAACGTATGTAACCGCCGCGATTTTTCGATAAACTTAACACTAGCTACTTAATAATTATTGTATGCAATCGATTTCGTACCCATATTGCGTTCCGCCGTGAGTAAACCCAAAATAATTGTTCTGAGCCATCCTTCCTCGCAGAGAATCCCGGAAAGAAGGACAATGGAGGAAGTTGTAGGGCGTGCCACAGACTCGATAGAATGGCGGCGCTGCCGCGGCTCCCTATTGGTTATTCTGTTGGAGCCGGGCGCAACGATCGCAAGAATGCCGCGCCCTCAGTGGCCGCTTCCACGAGAACCCTGCGTCGTCCTCCGACAAACTACCTCCGCGCAAATCAACAAGCTACCGTACTAGCCAGAGGAAACTACCGCGAGAAAGTATTCACGAAACCGGACAGATCTATACGGTTAATTGAGACTTAACTTACTGCGTGTTCGCCGTTATCTCCGCTTTCCGGTGGTAGTATGTAGTTCGCGTGATTTTCGCGGCTGCTGCGTATTGCGGCGTTGCGGCGAACGTCCGGTGTGCGCAAGGGACACAGTTTGCCGGTGTGGGTGACGCGTGCGCAATGATGGCCACATCGTGGGCTTTTTGACCCATGCGCACTACACGTTATCAGTAGCACAAGCAGCATTGGTAGCATTGTAGGACCCGACCGCAAAAACAGCCTTATACAAAATTTATCTGCTCTTTCATTTATTTCGTCCCATGTTGCTAAAAATATAATTTAACACGTCTGTTATATACTGACAATTACCGTTTTGAACAATTATTACTTTATTACGATTGTTTTATGAAATATCATGACGGCACTTACAATTCACATGTCCCAGGCGAATAAGCAAATTCAGACATGCGCACCGCGAAGATGGCATGCGTTAGCGCGAATATTCGTATACGAAAAGCAAGTTCTATAGATAAGTGATGCCGCTAACCGGGCGTAAAAAATGGCCAACTTAACTGTTTCCCCTTCACGAACGGAGATTCGTTTACAAAAACTGTTTATACCGTTTATTTATACACCGTCCTTCAGGTTCATTCTTCAGGTCCATGTGGAAACCAATGATAACCCCACTACTCCTGAAATCTTTATCGTTCCGATGGAAGCGCTCCCGAACAGCGGACCCATGCACCATTGTTGCCGTGACACGGTGGCTTAAGTCTCAAGTATATATAGTCTAAGGATAAGAATGGAACGGAATATTTTTGCGCTCGCACAACAAATTCGATAATAGTACCACCAGTATCACTCACTATCCTCAACTATCCTTCGATACACCGGCGAATACTTGAAGTAGATATATATTTTTGATTAATCACGCTAAGGCCCTGCACGAAATGCCGCCGCAATTAGTAAGGAAGAAGCATGCTAAATATTTCCAGAGGTTATTGCTACAGATTATGCCCTCTGAATTGACCGAGTTCGATTACTCTCGACTCACCATAGCGTTTTTTGCTATATCAGGGCTAGACATATTGAACTGCTTAAACGATCTTAGCGAAGACACAAAATTAAGGGCGATAGATTGGGTGTACATGCTTCAGGTAACCGGAGCCGGGCCCCGCTCCGGTTTTCTACCCTCGCCAACGATACCAAAGGATGCCTCGAAATATCAATGTGGTCACTTGGCAATGACATACATTGGATTAGTTACACTTTTAATTCTCGGAGATGACTTGAGCCGCGTCGACAGAAAGTCAATTATCGAAGGAATGAGGTCTTGTCAAAATCTCGATGGATCCTTTACAGCTGCTGTAATAGGATGTGAGAGCGACATGAGATTCCTTTACTGTGCTTGTTGCGTGTCCATGATTCTAAACGATTGGTCGGGCATCAACAAAACTAAAGCGATTGACTATATTTTAAAGAGCATTGTAAGCATATCTCTCTTTTATCGTACAATTATTTCTATCATTAATTTATGCTTTGCTACGTGGCCTCTTATCTATTTCGATGCACGCATTGGGCTTCGACCCAATAAATCAATAAATAAATAAGTAAAGTTAGCTTTGTCTATTTAATTTTATCATAGCATCTCAACAATGATTATAGTCGTATGATGGAGCAATGGGCCAAGGACCTGGTCTTGAATCGCACGGAGGATCCACATTTTGTGCCGTAGCTAGTCTGTTTCTTATGAACGAACTGCACAATGTATTGTCGCATGATCAATTAAGTAGACTCAGAAGATGGTGTCTTATGAGGCAAGACAGTGGATTTCATGGGCGACCCGGGAAGCCGTCTGACACTTGTTACAGTTTTTGGATAGGCGCTACATTGCGAATGCTCGAAGTTAACGGACTGTCGGATCCGGACAAGAACAGGGCATTCCTCCTTGCGAATCAAGACATCGTCACGGGAGGATTTGCAAAATTTGCCGACTGCCCACCGGATCCCGTTCACACCTACCTCGGTTCGTACAATATTCTTTTCTCAAAACGGCAGTAATAACCTGTATGATATCTTCCAGGTTTGTGCGGCTTGAGTCTCTTGGAAGAGCCTGGCTTAAGCATAATGAACGCCGCTCTCAATATTTCCGACCGAGCATACAAACACTTATTAAAAATCCAAGAAGTGTGGTAACGCAGTCGATGATTCTATATAAGTATTCGTAACAATTGAATATCATATCAGAACGCACAGAATAAAGAGGAGGAAGTAACATTTCCGCAGTTCCCCCATAAATACTATTTGTACAGTCCTCACAATCGCCCCTGTGTCAAGCTACTATAAAGTGTCAATTAACTGGAGGATTATGATTCTGAGATGCGTTATCAATTATTTAATTTGTGATATTCGTTAACCGTAGTTAATGCAAACCATAATTTAAATGCATCATGAAATTTCCTTATATTTATAAAATTTTAATAAAACCGAAAGAAATCTATGCAAGTGTTCTTGTGATCGTTGCATGAGCCGTTCAACGCAACTGCCTCGATGTATAATGTATATATAATAAAAGTATAAGGAGCTATAAGATGTAAAAATCCTACTTAATTGTAAATCAATTCTGCTAATCTTGAATCAACAAGTCGCGCCTGATTTCGTTGCACGATCGTGGGATTGGGAAAACGCATGAATGACACTGCGAGGAGCGCCACACATGCGCCCCACCTCGCGATGATTCCATGGTAACCGGGGTGGATTCGCGGAACACAACAGTACAACAACGTACAACTGAGAGAACAGACGTTCGCTCGAGAAGACAGCGAACCGCTGGAGAATAGCGTGTTTCTACCTTTTCCGGTGTGCAGTTTCTCTTTTTTTTTCTTTCTTCATGCGCTCGTTCGCGCGTCGTGCTGTTATGTGCATTTGAGAAATATCGATAGAATTTCATCGAACAAAGTGGAACGCGGAGGAAACAATAGAACAATATATCTGCGTAATTCTTCTCGGAAAAGGGAAACTTCATTGCCGAGTATCCGGGTCGCGTTCGTGGCCCACACAACAGCAGAGGTTAGTGCGCGCCTAAAATTTAAATTAATTCGTTGCTGACGAACCGATTTCGCCGCCACCGCCACCGCCGAAAACGAGATCACTTAACGACCTATTCATTCTTTAATACCGGAAGAGTACTGTATTTTTATAAGAGCAAAACAAGTTTAACAGTATTACTTACTAGATTTCTATTTGCACACTTACCTATTTTCAAACATAACTTGTTAAAACTATATACACTTACAAGACGATCGCGGCAAACTACGATATTAACAGAATCAAACTGAAATGGTAGACGAAATATCGTATAATCGAGCAGAGAGGAAAGTGGGTAACTACTGAGTTTCGTAAAACGAACGGATTAATTGCGTCACTTAGTTAGTCACGGCCGAGCGGATGTGTGTAAGTTAATTCGGTACAAGCGCGTCCATCGGTGACGAATAACAGGGAATAAGAGATAGAGCAACGCTGCAGGGATATAGGAGAGGTATATTTAGAAATTAACGGCCAAAGCTTTTCAGGTATCGTGAATTAATCGATTATCGGTAGTGTGAAATTTTCCACGGTGCATGATTCTCATCCGCGCGGTCGCGCATAAACGAACACAAACAAAAAAGGCGAACATTCTTTTCGGCTGATGTAGAGCCTTAACAAGTAGGCGCTCAACGAGCGGGCTTGTTACGGGATACATGTTTCTAATTATCTATCAGTAGCACGCTCTTTCACCGCTTATTCCCATGTAGACGAATACGACCCATGTGTTCAAAACATTTTTCAAGCGTCGAAGGAGTTGTAGTCTTCAATCGACTCGAAACGCGTTCCATGAAGAGCTTAGTTCGAGTTTAGGAAATAAGAAAAAGTTACGGAGAACCATATCCGCGGCTTGATCGATGACATCTGTTGAGTTTTCCGCTAAAATTTCGCTTATCAAAATAGACATGGGCGGCGGGGCTCGTTTCATCCATCGTGAACTTGAAGTCGAGTGACTTAAGGATGTATTGGCTATACAGTCAATCTCAAAAGTTTATGTACCTTAGAAAAAAGCATTTCCCATAATTAAAAATAGTGCACTTTTCTTCTAATTTCGATATTTAAAGAGTTACATATGATTATATGGCATTTTATTGATGTTGACAAAATCCGACCATCCCAGCGTCGAAATGGCGNCAAAAAACCCATGAATTGATTTAAAATTTTGCAGGTAGCTTTTTAATAGTAATAGGAATCTATAATAACAAATTCAACATGCTAGCATTGTTTAAGTACATAGTCTACACATCCTTAAACAATCGATACAAAACACCTAGTCAATCGATAAATCGCGATCGAACTCAGCGCAAACAAATAAATATAGCAGAAATGCTATATACAAAAATCTTTTAAATTCCGGATACTTCTTTTACGCAATGAATGCAAAAGCTGCCTTTTGGACTTTCCTCAAATTGTATTCTGTCTGCAAATTACATCTTAGGTGCATAAATCGATAATTTCGCACGTTTCGTACAGGGTTTGGATCGAATTTTGAAAGGAGAGTTTGTCACATGAGGTGCAAAAAAAGTCCGTCGAATATTTAAAGGAGGAACGCGTGACCTTTGTGGACAGGGCACGATTCGTCTCGTAACTTTGTCCGTAGGAGCACGTGCTCGCACACGATACATGCTTACTCGCGTACACGTACAGTGCGTGCACGTATAGCTGAACACATCGATCGGAAGAGGCAGGTGGTGGGTATATTCTCAGACAAGATGCTCGGTTTAACAAGGCGGCCAGTTGCACAGCTGTTCCTTATGACAGCTGCATCTTCCGAAATGAAAAGAAAGAACGTTGAGGAAATCGAGGGGAGACGATGGAGCGGAGGGGTCGAGCCCCTCGATCCGAAATCGTTTACGATGCCGAGTACCCATTTGCTGTTTGAACTGTTTCACTAAGGAAAATAATTGATTTAACGTCTACATTGTTACAAAAACCACAGTCCATTTCATTTGCTTGTATGTAACGCCGAGAGGCAAACGAGAATGAGAGTCTCTGGCTTGCCTTGACGCTCCTTACAAATCGATCCAACTTTCATGAAGCTATATAATATATTATACACGCATCTATGTATATACGATTACCATTATACAACAAACCGCAACGCGCATTACGTTTCGTTACCAGTGTTTGACCTCATCAAGGCGCAAATTACGCGAACGAGTATATATCCTTCAGCCACTATTTTTTGTTCCCTCTTACAATTAGCCGTCTTCGTAATTGTAATTCAGATTGTTCCCTGGGGAAATAGAAATTGCATTAAAAAGCAATTGAGTATCCCACGCCAGTATTAAAAGTCCGTCTTCTTTCTTTATATTTCGATCTCGCGGTGGGTGGCCGATGACACGCGCGGTATGGAATGTGAATTTTGAAAGCAGAGCTCATCGAACAGCATAAACATCTTTTCGCGGTGACAGGCTGTTTATAAAACGAAGCACGAAGTAGAACAGAAAATATTTAGACTAGCCCGTTAAGCAAGGCGTGATGAAAGAAAAATCGAATGGTTCTTTTTTAGGTGGCGTGGGGAACGGCAGTAATGGAATTGCAGAGCTGGCTGCTCTATCATCTTGTAGCCGTAACCGACTGCAATCAAGGTATCTACACAAATGTTAACTGTATAATGCTCTGATTTGTTGCGCGAATCGCATACAGCAAATATCGCGCGTCACTGTTCAACGCTCAATTTGAATATCATTTTTACATTATGTATTTTGTTTTATGCTAAACACCCTTGGTTATTTTAGTTGTTTTTGTCTGAGTTTCATCCGTGGTCACAAAACGCTTGTTTATTTCAATCACAATCCCGTTATCGCCTAGAGGAAAGAGCAATCTACAAATGTTCGATGGTAAGTACCGACGATTGTCTTGTCATTCTTATGATTAAAATTCCTATTAACTGATAATGTATCTGATTTTTCTAACTAATCATGATCAATAAATAACGTGAATCAGCGATTGTAATTTATTTTCTTATTGCCAGTGATGCAGTCGGCGACTACATTGAACGGCGGATCTTATCCCGGTGCGGGAGGCACCGGAAGTCGGGCCCGCGATTTAGGTCTCCGCGCCCAAAAAAAACTCCTCGGCCGAGTCGTATCTACAGGAGCCGGAAGGTCGCTGTTGATAGACGATGCCACCACATCTTTACTCGACAATCTTTACAAACTCATGGAAAGAGTAGCGAAGACCAACCCGGGTTTAGACAAGAAGCAGCCGGAAAAAGTTCTGAAGAACGTCGTCAAATTATCGATCAAGGTACTTAGTCCCTCTCGACAGTCATTGGCCCAGATTTGTTTTTTAATGGGTTGAGTAGCTCTATTTAAACGTTTTACGTTTCAGGTGGGTCTACTTCAGCGTAATCAGCAATTGAACTCCGCCGACGACGCGAAACTGGTTGAAATAAGGAGTGCGCTTAGAGCGGTGGCAATGTCCGTCGTCTCGTTTTACGAGTTGGAGTTCAGTTTCGACAGGGGTTATCTGGTGAAGTCGTTGGAACGATGCAGGACCGCGATACAGGCGCTGATAAAGCCGCACCTCACGGATAAATCGCAAGACCGGTGCGATCAGGTGTTCGATTTCTTAACGCATACGGATTTCCTGGACTCCGTATTCAGGCAGGACTCGGAGCATAGACCCGTCCTCGGGATGTTAGTCAGTGATATAAACAAGGCCTTGGATGCTGGACATCTTTGATTCTATTTGAAACTTCGTCTCGTTTCGATTTCGGGACGAATATATTTGCTGTAGTTAAGGGGACAGGCTTTTCCCAATTATTTTTCTTTGGAAAAGATGCCTGCGCAAGAAGAAGGTTGCTGTCGGAGGTACAGCGTTTATCACGAGAGTCGATGGAATTCACACAGTAGTGCTCACTAATTTATATGCAATAATCGTGAAATACTCTATTTTATTTCCGGAGGAGCAGCTGCGATTCAAAGGCGACACGCTCTCCTGATGTATTGTTACGATCAGCGTATATTTATTTATGCCACTCACGAGTTAGGATATACCAAAAAGAAACGATGAGCTTATTTATACCCCGACTTAGGGCTTCTAGAGTAACGATGGGTAGAAACAACTCTGTTAATCCCGAAAAAACCGCGTGAATAGATAATCTTCCACTTCTCAAAGACCTACACACACACACATATATACACACACACACTCCGACGAGTGTATAAAAACGGGTCGCCCTTTATTTGCACGCGTATTGTGCGCCTCGGTACATCTCCAACGGACAAACGTAACATATCTGATAATGGCTAAACGGAATTTAAAACGTTTTGCATACATAACACGTATACTACGAAATTTAACATGTTTTGTATAAATTATACACGATTTACATTTGTGAAGATCATAAATTAAAATATCTTGTATCGATATACCAGTAATAAATTTGTTTATATCGAAACGCGTCTCTCTTCTCTTGGTAGTTTCATATTTTTCGAATCAAAAGAGACTCGACAGGCGCTGTTTAATCATTTGGTATATTTTATTTACATAAATTACTTGACTTCACGCACACATATGCACACACATAAAATTACAATATCGCCAGTGCTGTTTTGTAGTAGCACTGATTTTAAGAAATATTTACCGTTTTAAAGCATTAAATAAGACTACGGGTGTTACCTCCTCGTTTCAGCAAAATATACGCTTGAAAAATTGCACTATTTTTTTACTAACAAAACGGGGACGATTTTTAATCAGTCTACAGGAGCTTAAAACTTGTCCCCATATTCTTAACGACAACTAAACTTTGGAACAACGTTTTCCTAAATAAAAATGATGATCAAATCGAACGAGATACAAGCTTGTAAAAGGAAATGTAAAGAGAAGCCAAAGAACTGTTAAAGAATACAAGGACAACTATTTTTAAGTCACTCTAATGCACGACCATTTTCTCGCAAAACATTTGCGTAAGCATAATACATGAAGAAGTGTATTCCGAGATCGTATGTACCTGTACAAAAATTTGTTTGTAACTTATACGTATAGTTTAAGTATAAAAATTATTTATTTTTACTTTACTATTGCATTATTTCAATTTACACGATACTCAGATTCGTTTCGCTTAAGTAGATATGAAAATTAGGACGTCTCGATCGAATGGACAATAGCTGCACGTTGAAATTGAACTGTAAACGAAATTCAAAAGGCCCATCCGTTTAAAGAAGAGATGCAGCGGGCCGTTCCCGGAAGATCGAACAAATTATCGCGGATATTCAAGAAGGAAACTATTAATAGTTTAATAATATTCTTTTTTTATAATATTTTTAATAGTACATGTTATAATCGTGGTAAAATGTATCCGATGTATTCGTTCATTATGCAGGATTGCATGCAATTCAATTTAATTACGAATCTGTAAATATAACACACATTTCACCGTTTTTTTGTTAATTACTAATGCGACGAGCGTCGCGATTATATGCCAACAATTTATAGCCTGTACAATGAGCATACACAGAATACATTTTGTTATCATATATCCACTACGACATACTAATCGTTCAGTTACTTGTCGTTTACAACAACTCTTCCTCCCATTAAAATGGTTTTCTATCCTAAGTTACTGAAAATCCACTTGCATCATTTAATTGTATAAAATGAACATAATCGTACATTTATATGTAAAGTTGTATAACATACGAATTCGACGAACTGAATTTTTGATTTAACGTCTCTACTATGTAATACAGAGAAATATTACGAACATTTAAATAAATATCGATCTTTTTAAATAACTTCTCGTAATGTTCATTGTATATTATTCTCCTAAGGCCAGTATTGAGATTTCAACTTGATAAATTGCATCTGAGAAACTTAATGTCCATTGCTCTGCTATTCTTCCATTGAAAAGTAGATCTCTCTCTCAACAGAGAACTTTACGATCAATGATTCTCAAATTGTATGCAAGACAGTTTCGTTTAATCGCTCGAATATCCACGTATAGTAGTGCTAGTGGAAAATTTCGCACGACGGTTAAAAAATCATAACGATATTACGCTGGTGATTAACCAAAGTGTCTTCGATTGTAATATTATTCCATGATTTTTAAAACTCTGACGTTCTGATATAATTGCTTAGTAAGTCACTTTCATACTCAAAATGTATCGTTGAAACGCTCAAAGGATTTACTTGAACTTTATCACTTATTCCATCGGGCAGTCGAGATGTATACACCTCTAATTGATTGAGAAATGTTCTAGTTTTTAATTAATTTAAACTAGAAACATCTTCCAAATGTCTGGTTGCGCAATGTGAAGAAATGAGATCGCAGCGTGACAAACGAATGATTCTAATATCCGGTGTACACATCTCTTTCGATAAAACTTGATTAAATGTACAACTTATAGTTACTTACATAAAAAGTCGATGCGGTTCTCAGCTAAAATTAACTTTATTGCCATAATCCTGCGTAGTTACCATAAAGATTCACAGGGAGAGGTCCACCAGCAGTGAATAATCGAGTTCCGGAACCGTCGTAACAATGAGTATATATAGCAGGCGTGTACTTTACGTTTTGGAAACCGTCAATGTACTCTTCATCGGGAAACTGAAATCACAATCGCAATAACAATCAAGCATCAAAGTAGTAAAAACGGAAGGCGAAGATTGAGACGTACCACGTATCCCTTCGACGCTTTCAGTACAACGGTTCTATTCGAATTAATTGAAGATTCAAGATACTTTTGTGCTTTGACGTCATAAAAAAACATCATGCCCAAGCCAGTACCGATTGTTAGAACGGAGCCTTGAAAACTAACCGATCGGATCCCGCAACCGCTGTACCTACACAGAAAATAATGTGAGCCAGTTAGTCTTTTTAACATAATAAATTTCATAATTGTCTCATAAATGTTCAAGCGGGATGTTACAAACCGTGAGGGTATTCTTTTTATTGGCTGAACAGTTCTCGCGTCCAACAGCAGAGTATAAGACCGGCATCCTACGGCGTAAACGCCATCATCTTGTACAGCGAGGCAAACGTTTTCTTGGCAAACCGGCAATTTTCTAGATATCTTCTGTCGGAAAGTCTCTGCAGACCAGATGTGTATAAAATTGTTGAGAGTGATGGCTGCGATCTCTTTGTACGTTCTATTAAACACAAGAGCTCGCACTTTCTGCGCGGATCTGCACTCCTTCACGCATACAGGTTGAATCAATCTAAGGGAGAGAAAGATAATATGTAAAATCGAATTGATCCGATAAAAATATTATGATCTGTAGTTATCATTGTGCAACCTGTGTGTCGGGACGTCCGCTTTATCAGGTGCCTCGGCGAGGTCGTTGTCTATACGCCATAGCGCCATTTTGGTATCTCTAGAACCGGAAACTAAAAATTCATCGTCTAGCCAACACATATCGAAGATCCAGTCTCTGTGACCGCCTTCTCCTACGCAGACTGGATCCAGTGTTGGTAGCCTGTATATTGCTATTTCGTTACTATTTCTAGCTCCCGTTGACAAAAGTGTCCTGTGTAACATACGTGTCATTAGAAACGGTAACAAAACGAGCATACAGAGTCCAAGAATGTTTTTATACCTTGAAGGATTAATTTGAACAGAATGTATACCACATTGCTGCTCAGGAACAGCACCGCCTCCCGAATTAATTTGCCTCCCATGCAGAGACGGAATTTGGTCTAATTTCTGTGTCGCTACGTCATAAACCATCAATTTGTTGCATTTCGTACCAAACACTACTTGCCTATCGCTTAACCATTGAGAACAAAATACTTTATTCATATTATTTAAGCTAACCGAATATTCTTTAAATAGATCGTGAGTCAATATATGTCGGAATCCATATTCTTGATTAATCTTTCTCACTTCCTTCGTGTTCGTTTCTCGCGCGCGTACGTAATCCACGAAGTTAAATGAAGTTCTCAAGAACTGTTTTCCTTCGCTCACAGTTTCTGCTTCGTCGTCACTCGATTCGTAACATATAAAGTCATCTGGCTTGTCTGTTTTTCGGTTTCTTTCTAATCTTAATGCTAATCTGTAATGTACAACAATTAATTTTTTATGTGCTATTACCATATCCCATTCTAATATCACTTTACCTCCTGGCACGGCGTTCCTCTAAACGAGTTCCACTGGCACAGGGAGGATGTCTGCCATATATGGTCATTCTTTGTGTTTCAGCCATCGTGTTCAGACTCGATGATTGACTACTGGTAAATTGAAATTAGAATCATTGAGCGTCGGTATGAAATTTGTTTAATATTGCAATTACCCTTGTGTATGTACGTATTATGTAGCCTCGGTGTTTAACAGGTGAACTAATTTATTTTATTGTTGCTGTTCCTTTCATGATAAGTAATGTCAAACGAAATGACTTTCGATGAAGTACTGTTCATTCACAAATGATCATGGCAATCCCTGATCGAATCCTTTCGGCTGCGGTTGAAGAACGAAATTATCCAAAGTAAATGTCGAACGCTCTTAAAGGAAATTTCGATCTCCTCTAGCATGTAATGAAATAACAAGAAACTGGCAGCAGTTCTAGGACTGGAATAAAATCAGCCTTTAAATACCTTCATGTTTCTTTTCGTAGCAGTAACAGAGTTCCGGTTTAAAAGAATGTCGATACACTTTTGTTCAAAATTCTTTAATTATTTATAAAGTACAACGAACCTTAATAGGACGGAGATTACTAAATCTATCGCGCTGCTTAGATAAAACTTTTCGGTCGAAATCCGTTTTTAATCAGACGTCGAGCTTCATAGTCAGAGGACTTACGCGCGGATCCCGATACTAATATGTACATCAAGGATTCGCGTTCGCGTCGAAATTATACAAAGGAACGGGAATAAAAATCAGAAAATTCATGACAAGCGACGAGATCTTCGAAGCACTAAGCAACTAACCATCGCCATATTGAAACGAGCAGGAAAACCATCGGAATTTTAACAGAGCGCACTGAAATCTTCCATACATATCGTTCGCAATTCTCCTATAGCGGTTTCTACGAAATCCCACGATTTTCGCGATTCCGGTGGACAGTTCCTGGGACAATTATTTAGTACAAGAATCGACGAGACCAACTTCCATCAATTGTCAACAGGAGCTGTTTAATCCCCTCCACTGAATTTTATTACAGCTGACATTTTAAGAGAAATGGCGTCCTTCAAGAAATTAAATACTAAAGGATTCGCCAGACCGGGATCAGAAATAACGCCGGATACGGTATATTGGAAAAAGTACAGTGTAAGTACGTTACGGATAAGAACAATCAAAGTTCCTACTAGCTGCATAATATCATTCACTCAATGAGATCCACGTGTGTAGTACCTAACCTAACGGACAAACCTTCGCTTTGAATTATAAACTCTAAATTTATGCATTTTCGATTCGATAGGCTCCTGTTTTAGTTAAAGAATTCGGCCCAATTGATTACATTGACTTCTCACCGGTGGAACCGCATTACTTCGCTGTCACCTGTTCGGTCCGAGTACAGGTGTACAATCCAATTACGAAGTTAGTTACCAAAAATCTAAGCAGGTTCAAGGAAGCTGCTTATGGTGGATCATTTCGTAATGATGGTCGACTGATTTGTGCTGGTGGCGAGGAAGCTGTAATCAGATTATTCGACGTTAATACAAAGAGCCTTCTTAGACTCTTCTCTGGTCATAAAGCTGCTGTACACAGAACTTTCTTCACTGCAGACAATCTCCACATAGCTTCATTCTCTGATGACAAAACTACGATACTTTGGGACATTCCCAGCGAGAAACAGGTAATATCTTTCAATGAACATTCAGATTACATCAGAGCTGGTGCAGTTAGTCCAATCTCCAAAGACATATTCTTGTCTGGAGGTTACGACAAGCAGATACACATGTATGACACCAGAACAAGTCAGAAGATTCTTAGTGTAACTCACGAAGCTCCAGTTGAAAGTTTATTATTTTTACCTATGGGAGGAATATTCCTATCTGCAGGTATGTTAATACGTAATAAATGTGAAATATAATAGAATGGTGATATAATTGTCTGTTTAGGTGGGACAGAAATTAGAGTATGGGACGCGCTTGCTGGTGGGAGATTACTAGCAAAAATCGGCCAACATCACAAAACTGTGACATGCTTAAAAATAGCTTCGAACGGTTACAGAATTGTATCTGGTTCATTAGATAGACATGTAAAAATTTACGACTCCGGGACATATAAAACCGTCCATTCATTCGATTATCCGAATGCAATCCTCAGCATAGGAATTAGTGTAAGGAAGGTTTTCGGTTTTCAAACATTGAATTAAAAATTAAGCTTCGTTATTAATTACAGCCAAACGATGAAACGATAGTAGCTGGCATGGTAGATGGTTTGATCTCTGTGAAAAGAAGGGAAGAAAACGTGAAGAACGAAAAACCGCAACGGAAGAAAGTGTCGTACAGACATTCGGGGAAGAATTTACACACTCCTCAAGTAAATATCGTCGTCCACAGAGAGATGAAAGAGATCATGTCTAAGCACGATACGTGTTTAAGAAAGTTCGAGTATTCGAAAGCCTTAGACTGCGTTATGATGAACTACGTGGTAAATAAAACGCCGCATGTCACGGTTGCACTTATGCAGGAACTTATTAGAAGGCAAGGCTTGAAACAAGCTCTCAGTGCTAGGGATGGTAAATCTCTTGTGAATATTATCAAATTCTTGAACAGACATATAGGCAGTGTTCAATTTGGAAGAGTGCTGCTTTACGTGGCTAACGTATTAATGGGTAGGTAATATATTCTTCTTTTCGTAACTTCTTTTAACTGAGTAATCTAATTTTTTGCAAGATATCTACGAAGATCATTTGGACGAGCTTGCAGCCGAACCCCGGAAGATGTTCAGCATTTTAGCCTCGAAATTGGAAGAAGAAGAAAACTTAATATTAGCGTTGTCAGAATTGCAAGGGAAATTACATATGATACTATCTGCTGCTGAAACGGTACCTCCAACCCCAGCGAAAGATGCTTTGACCTTTGAGCCTTCGACTGCAGCTCAGAAAAATTTAATTTTAAGCATAGCATGAATGTAGGACGTAGGTATTCATTAACAAAAACTTTGTACATATTTTTCATGCACTTTAATAAAATTAAAACTGACTGATACATGCTCGAAATTTAAGTAGGTATTAAGATGTACATCGAAAACAATTATTCTTATGAAATTTCTTTTCTGAGGCACTTTTGCCATGCAGCAGAAGTTGGTTTAATAGGCATTACCCATCCAATTGGTATCGCCGATGCATCGTCCTCCGCGCTGATGTATTTGTCCCAGGCAGTTCTACAAATAAAATGAATTATAGAAATTTACGAGGATTGATAACGCAAGAAGAACGTACCTTATAGCAACGAAATTAGTTAAATCCATATTGCACTGATCGGATATCTTCTTCCCAAACAATACTTTCTCCCAATCGTCGAAAAGACTTCTCGTCTGTTTTTCAATTCTCTCTTCGTTGTCAGTTTTTAACATCAATTTCAAACCCTGTTCTTCTATAGAATATTCCCGATCGAGTTTCGACCACTGTTCCGTTAATTTCTCTGTAAACAAAGGGAATCTGTTAGCCAAAGTATTTATTACAAAAAAGCGCTCGAATGTTATGATAATACCAAGTATGTTATTGAACGCTTCGTCGGCTGCCGAAGATAAATGTTCCCCCCTTGCTCTGGCAATGTTTACTTTTACGTTCCGTAAATTTTTTAGTTCCTGTAGGAGGCCAAGATACTTCTTAGCATCGCTTCGTTTCCCTCTAACGTCGAAAAGAACCATGTCGGCATCTTTTCGTAAATTTTCTTCTTGCCTTTCTTTCTCTATTACAGCCTGTTCCTTTCTAATCCAGGAATCGATCTGTGCGTGCATTCTTGCTCTTCTTTCCGTTCTCGCTAATTTCTCTATATTCCATTTCTCTTTTTTCACTTTCTCCCTCAATCTTTTTCTCTTCCGTCTTTCCAAATCTCGTTTCAATTGCTTCAAGCAACTTTCGCTCTTAATAGGCTCCAACAGTTTAAGAATCTCTTCTTTCGCCGCACTGCAAACACTCATTTTCTCTTGCCATTCCTCTTCCGTTAAATTTTGATAATTCTGAAGCTCTGCACAATTTCTCTTCAATCTTTCGTTTAATTTATATATCGACGTTATAGCATTTTTTGCATATGCAATTTTTGATCTTCTCCATGTATTTCTCTGATCATTTTTATTATCTGACTGATCAGTTTCTTGGAGAAAATGCTCAATGTTTCTTTCATCGATTCTTCGGTTTTCTGTATTAGACATCGACGTGGCAGTCTTATCGGATGTATCAATTGGACAGATGTAATTGTGATATACATTCAGATTATAATTCATATTGTAAACAGATGGATTAATCGTATCGTAATGAGAATATCCGCAGTGTTGCATGGATTCCCCTGTAGAACTTTGACCGGCAAACATAATTGCTCGATAGATAATATTTAATTTTATTAAATATAAAATGTCTTAATAGTATCACGCTTTTATGAATTAAACGATTACTTTGCTTAAAAATCCTATGGTAAATGAAAATATAGTTCTTTTAGTTTTCGACAGAACTTTCATACAATTAATAGTTTTAACACATGTCCATGATTTCTTCTTCTTTGGGAAGTTGAGCCACTGCTTCTTGCAATACTTTTTCTGCTTCGATGTAGTCCTCAACTTCTTTTAAATCTTGCTCCGTTTCCAAGATATTTTTCAATTCTGCGTAGGCTTTTACAAGACGCCGCTGGCAATCTGGTACCATCATCAAAGACTCTTGCAGCACTTCTTCTTGCTTCTTTATATCGTAACCATCTTTATCTGTAAGTAAATCATAAATCATTCATCAAAAAAGAATTTAATGCACGTAGATTGGTAAATTTCTTGATCAACTGAACGTTTCAGCTTGAAGAAAAGAAAATTGGAGGAGAGCACGAAAACAAGCGAATGCCACGGGTATCGACGGGATCGAAATAACAGAAATCTACAATCTATCGATCAAACTCTGTGTGCTCTCACCCTGTTCCTTTAGTTTCTGTATCCTTTCGCGTTGCTGTGCTGCCTCTTTTTCGTAAGTGACTTTTTCTTTCGCGAGACGTTTCACTACTCCAGTCTTAATCTTTAGAGTTCTTATACGAGGATCGGACATCGTTTCAATTTAAATATTTTACCTCAGTTCCAGTAGCTTTCAATGATCAGAAACGTTTATTCTCTCCCCTTATAAGGTAAAACGAATAACTACCAAAGGAACTGAAACTTCGAACAGGTTATGTGAGGTTATGCCGAATTGTCGCTTGATTTTGCTTGTTGTGTGTCAGAGTGCCTTTGTTTCATTTATATAGAAACAGTGATGTGATGGGCAGTGGGCAGCTTTGGGCAGAGATAGATGAGTTGAGGTTGAGGAGGCTCATGAGCTCAGTTTTACTCACGGCATGGGTGGCGCTGCGGTGAAAACGTCCGTGGATCAACAGAACAGGCAGCAGAATAAACAAATGATTCCGGTTTTCTGTAAGCAAACACATTTATTATCCTTTTAAAAAAAGTTATTTATAGAATCAAACTTTTTGGATTCGTCATTACAATGTTAATTTAAAAATATTTAGTGACACTAGGCACTACTCCCACCGAAGTTCCCGGACCTGTGTTACGGTGTTACGACACCGTGATCTCTTTGTGCAGATGTGTGTCATATGTGTAACATGACGTTACGTGGAGCATGGCCGTGGTAGAACGTCACCGCACGAGGCACGAGCATAACCTATCCTCGAATGCCACGCGTACCGTACGTTTACATCCCGTTCTTCCATTGCATTCCACACGGAACGGTGGCATGTCTCGATCCTCCCGTCTTATCTGCCTATTGTGATACCGGTTTATGACCGGACGGAAAGAGTAACAACGCTCGTGGCCGATCTCCGCGCGATATCCACGCGAAGGCGACGGTAGCCCGGATCCGGAATCCAGAATGGCTTCGTCGGCGACAACGAGGCGTTTTAAACTATTGTTTTGCGCTCTCGGTATTTTTGTATGTTACTTTTACTTCGGCATGCTGCAGGAAAAGATTACGCGAGGACAGTATGGAGATGCGAAGAACGGTGAAAAATTTACGTATATGTTTAGCTTGGTTTTTGTGCAATGTTTCGTCAATTATTTGTTTGCCAAGGCTGGTTTGATGACGATCATGAAACAGCAGGGTGAAGATACCACTCCAAAACTATATTACATACTCTCTGCTCTCACATATTTGCTCGCTATGGTATGCAGTAACATGGCATTGCAATTTGTCAGTTATCCAACTCAAGTAATTGGAAAAGCTGGAAAACCAATTCCTGTCATTATACTTGGAGTATTATTGGGAAACAAGGTATGCCATATGGTTTCTCCTTCTTTCTACTTTGTTTCATTTCTTTTTTTCACATATATGCACGTGAAATTGCTCGTAATATTTGCTGATTATTATTATTAACAATTGCTTGCTAACTGAATTGCAGGTGTACCCGCCCAGAAAGTATGTGTTCGTCTTCTTGGTCGTTACTGGTGTAATTTTATTCATGTATAAGGATGGACCTCCGAAGAAACCAATGGATGCTGCGGGACAAACGGGATTTGGAGAACTCTTGTTGTTATTGTCGTTAACGATGGATGGTATAACCAGTGCCGTGCAGGAAAGAATGAAAGGAGAGCACAACACTAAATCCGGGCATATGATGTTGAACATGAATTATTGGTCCGTGATCTTTAGTACTGTGGCTATCGTAGCCAGCGGGGAGGTGTTCCAATTCGTTCGGTTCTTGCAAAGATATCCTGCAACTTTATGGCAAATAGTGACCGTTTCCATAGCTGGAGCATTCGGGCAATACTTCATATTCTTCACTATCGCAGAATTTGGTCCGTTACCGTGTTCCATCATAACTACAACGAGGAAACTGTTCACGGTGTTGGGTTCCATAATTATTTTTGGGCACAGCCTGTCCACCAGACAATGGTTGGGTACGTGCATAGTGTTTACCGGATTGTTCCTGGACGCTGTGTATGGTAAAACCGACAGGTCCTCCAAAAAAGAAGTAGCGAAATAGCGGATCGACGTGAACGCGTGGACGCGTTCATTCGATCGCATTTACTTCTTACCCCGCGAGCGGTCGTAAATCTTTCGATGTAACATGACCGCCTCGCATCTTGACGATGCGTTTCTCGCGTTGCGGTGAGATGTTCGCGAGCGACAGAATTCTAAAGTCCGAAATCTTCGCGAAAGCGATCTCGTGGCTTCTTGATTTTCGCTCGCGATGATCTATCGATGTATACGTGGCACCGATGCGTACTTACGTACGAGCGAAGAAAATTGGAACGAGCGATAGATCGATCTAACTATTATCTCCAATTCTTAATAAATATGATGCGTATGTATTACTTTTCTGTGTGTATGTATGCGTGTCGCGTATATATACATGTGCCGTGTGTATGTGGTACAATGCGAATCGCGTGTCTGATGTTTGTACGTGTTTTTTCAGATCGATCCTTTCGTAAACTTCGTCCGACCGTTTTCGTTTCGAACTCGATTCGTGATCGAGTTGTTCGTACGCACGGTAAATTCATTCCAATGACATAATAATTTTTTCGATGTATGAAAATCACAGAACCGATAATCGATTACCGAAATAAAAGAAAAGCTCTGAACATTCCGTGTGTGATCAGTAAAAAGTATGTATTACGACACCTTCCTTTGATTTCGATCCACCCGATAAATCGTTAGGACATTAGAAAGAGTACGAGATATTTCGAGGAATGGGTAGAAATAGCGAGGAGAGCGGGAGGGGTGAGAAAGGAGCGCCTGTCCAGCGACGGCGAAACGCCACCAATAGCGAATGTAATTTCAAAAGATAGAGCAATGAAATTAAGATTTCTCGCTTCCTCTTACATTCGGACACTCGACTGGAATAATATCGTGTATCCGATTGTGGGTCGAAGTATCGAAAAAACGTAATGAGTACAGCGCGTAGCTCGGCGCGTGAAAAATTCGAAGCCCTTGCAGTGCCGTGTATCCCAGTTTCCTGAGTACCATTAATTTATTTTATTTTTTATTTTTTTATCTGCATGAACACGCTTACATTCTGACTCTCGTCGAAACGAAACTCATTGCCATGGAGAGAGAGAGAAAGAGTGTATATTGTTCATTCATAGAGTTGTGGTCTAGTCGCACGTTCTTGGAGGTCGTGGATAGAAGAAATAAGAAAGTGGAGGAAAGGATCCATGTATGGGGGCATCCCCATCGTTTCTCTCTTTCCTTCTTTTTATCACGTCCGTCGATAATTGATTAAATACATGTTACAATGTATTTAATCAACCATCCGCGTTCAAATCAGCGGATTTCTTTGTTATCGAAAACTGAGAGAACATTGATGGTTCGAGAGATAATAACGTGTGACATGAATGGCTATTAGGAAGGGAGCGTAATCAGTTGAATCTAAGTGTCACTGATGCGCGAACTCCTGCTACTGAACAAGTGGTAGTTGAACGGTTCTCGTCGTCCGTGAGGAAGTCGTATCAATATTCGATTTATGCGAACAGTCGTCGACTTATTTCAAGAGCGCGCGCGAAATGAACCGAATACTGCTTTCCAAATGTTGCGCGTGTGTCGTCGTTGCATTATGGCTACATTTTCCTGTTATTTACGGATGGAACGGTAAGAACTGCGAGACAGACAGCGCGCCGCGGTATCCTCATTTTTTGCTCAAAGATTTGTATTGAAATAACTTTTCGAGCAACGTTTCTAAATGAAAAATTCGCATTGCGTTTTTTCTTCGTTTCGTCCTTTATTCTTTCTCTTCTAGTAGTAGCGTGCAATTTAATTGCAAGTTCATAAGACGATGAACGAGAGGGGATGTTGTTTCGTTTGCAGACTCGTCGCAGCCACCGCCGATTGATGCAGTCTCTGATTTATCAATCGGCACGAAGAATCAACAAGGATCAGTGACGATTCGTATATCTGGACAGGGACGATTGTTCGTAGATACAAGACAGGAGGATGGAAAACAGGAGGAGAAAACGGATTGTTCGGTTGCTGCCGCGGACAATTCCATGGACGATTTTCCCGTTGATCTGTTTACTCCAGATCAACGTCGCAATGGGGCCGTCGTGTTACACGCTTTACTCGGATTTTACTGTTTCGTAATGACTGCCTTCGTTTGCCACGATTACCTGCTACCATCCGTCGACCTTATATGCGTCAAAATGAACATTAGCACCGACGTTGCCGGCGCGACCTTTTTAGCGATGGCTAGTTCGTTTCCAGAAATGTTTGTTAATGTGATCGGGACGTTTTTGACGCAGTCGGATCTTGGTACCGGAACGGTGGTTGGAAGCGCCGTTTTCGATACGTTCGCGACTCCTGCTTGCGGAGCGTTGATTACCGCCCACGTAAGCAAACTTTTCACTCTGAACTTAAATGCACACTCGACGATAATTGCACACTAATCGACTTGATGTACAACTTTTTACGGAAACGACTTCTAGTCGCGATTATTGAAAATTTGAAGGTCTTTCCTTGGAGTAACACTAACCGGTCACGTTCAGCTATTTGCCGCTGATAATAGAAGAATGCGTGTTTTTAGATTACGACTGTGCGTCTATTAGCGATGATAATTGATAGATCCCTTCTCGCTTCTTGAAACGGGCTCTTGCTCTTTGCACGATTCAAGATAAAAGTCCGATAAGGATCTAATTTTACATTCCATCTGATGATACTCTCTGTTGTTTGTCTCTCGATCGATTTCTCACGATTTAATTAATTTCGTTCGACGTTCCGTTCTACAGAGAAGAGTAAACAACAATTTTTAAAAATGTGATCTATTTCTCGGATCGGTTCCAAAATCTGTTATCCGGTTCGCATGTTTCGAAATAGACTTGGACAACTTGACGAACTTTTTATATAAATCTCGAGTAGTTAAAAATTACGTTGCCGACGTTTTTCTGACCTTGGCCGAGTTCATTTACCCTGTTTTTTTCTGCTTTTCCTGATCGACAGGCGATTCCTTTGGAATGGAAAACATTGACACGAGACTGTACAGTGTACGTGATATCTGTAGCAACGTTGGTGATAATAATGTGGGACAATTGGATTACATGGTACGAATCGGTAATCCTGATAGCGTTGTTCGTGTTTTACTTGATTGTGCTGTTTTCCGGCAAAAAAATCAAACTGTGTGCTCGCAGAGTCGGCGGTCGTTTCTGTACCACAACATCCGCGAAGCGTAAGTACCGCGTTGCAGAGCGCAGCGTTAGCATGATTAATTACTTCTAACGATTAGCGATTTGCACCTTCGTTCGTTCGTTCGCACGTTCGTTTAACAAAAGATCGCTCCAGTCCAGATGGATCAGGATGTGAAAATGCAGGAAGGATAAAAAGCAATGCGACTCATTGTGATTGATTGCAGTGTCGAATATAGCCGAGAATTCGGAGAATTGTCTGACCCCTGATGGAATTTATAAACTACGCTCTCAAAATGACATTTATATCATCGACGCGGATCATAGAGAAAACTCTAACGAAGCGGAAAGGCGACAGGACGGTATCCCTGAAACGACGAGCCCTACGCTGCATTCCTTCAACGATGAGGAACCAAAAGAAATTTCTATGTCCGGTAACGCTATAATACGTACATTATGTAAGGATTGGTTTAAGGTGGTGATTGCCACGTAGACGTAGAAGTATATTTGAACTGATTCTAAAAATGATAGCTGTTGCTTTTGCTCCACTGTTGTTATATTCGTCGCACGCCCCACGGTTCACCCCACGGCTTTGCCGGTTGTATTATACTTACAGAGCGTTTATTCACTTGGCCAAAGCAAAAAAGTGTGTTAGGAAAATTGTGGTACCTGTCAACTTGGCCATTGACGTTTCTGCTTTTTATAACGATACCCGACTCCAGAATCGAACGGTTGAAGAACTGGTATCCAATAACGTTCGTTGTAAGCGTCATTTGGATAGGAATTACTTCCTATTTGCTCTCCTGGATGATGACTGTGATCGGTGAAACCGCAGGAATACCGGATTCTATCATGGGTTTAACGTTTCTTGCCGCCGGTGGAAATGTGCCGGAAGTCGCATCCATAGCGATTTTAGCGAGGAAGGGTAAGTCTCCGCTTTGGTTTTTGGTTACGGTTTTGGTTTCGATTTTCACACCTTTCTTGTTTCTCTTTTCTTTTATCGTTTTGGTCCTCTCAACTGGCTGTGGTTTTTATGATACTCCACCACCGCGTAGGGGATGGAAATATGGCTATGAGTAATACGTTGGGCGCGAATATCCTGGACATCCTACTGTGTCTGGGTTTACCTTGGACTATAATGTGTTTGATGACGGGCACCGACTTAAAAATCGAATCGGGAACGCTGTCGTACAGCGTGCTCTCGATAGTTGCTTGCATAATCGTACTTTATGCAGTCATATGGTTTTACAACTTTGAATTAAACAAAAAGGTCGGCGTGATATGCTTGTTACTGTACATGACATTTGTAGTGTTCGCCAGTCTTGTAGAAATGAGAGTGTTCGCACCCGATGGTGGGAAGTCGTGTTAGCAATGGATAAAATTCAACACTTTCGATATAATCTGTACGTATGTACATTGTTTTCATGTTTTTCATCGACTTGTTATATTGTACATACTACATACCACTGTAAATATGTATATATAATATATATATATATACGATGTAACGATCGACCGATCGCTGTCCTAAACTAAAATTACAAATGGTCAAAACTTAATGACGATGGAGAAGCGGGTCAACGTGTCGTGCAATATCGATGATGACCAGTCGTAACCGTTATTCGTTGATCGACGGTGTCATGTGTATTTTTAATAAACGTTTAATTTATTTTAACGTTGAACGAGTCATCATCGTTTCTCTCTGTGCGTCGAAACGTGTTGCACATCCCCTTGCGGCGCGCGAGAACGCCGAACGGAAGAAACAAGGCGTAAGACAACGTACATACTTTCTCTTCTCTTTTTTATTTATAATTCTTTCAAAATAGTCTCCTAAGTACTCGATACATTGCTTAGAACATTGGTATAAGTTTTCGAAAGACTTTGAAAATCTTGTTGTTCTTTAATAGTGTTTAGTTCCCGTGTGTTACGCGTTCGTCCGACGATGAGCGTTGGATTTATTGGATTTCAGTTCGATGAAACGCCGACATTTTCCATTTTCCCAATTCTCTTGTTGCGGCGAAAGAAAAGATTCGGTGGCGAGGCAAGATCGAAGAAACGACTCGGGTCTAATCACGAACGAAACTTGATCGCGTCGAGCATCGTTATCTTAATCAAAAATTATCGTGTACTTCGTTGTTTTTATCTCGCGTAATATTATAAACTCGAGGTTGGTTGACCGCGCGGTTTGCGCTGGTAATTACAATACTCAATATGGCTAGACAATCTAGCGTCTAGAAACGTATGATTGCTGATTACAGAACTACGTGCAATTGTTCGGTCGATTCCACCTATTTTTTATTAATCCAATGTCTTTAGATCATCCGTTGGATTAAACGGTCGATGATTAAATCAGTTCGCGAATGAATTGGTGCTTTCCATCGACCTTTCATCGTGCGCGATACCTGCACGGTTAGATATAAATACACATCTTACATTTCCCATCGCGATATTAATTAATTGGGTAAATGAAGATAATAACGATATAAGATAGTTGCATAAACAATTGAACGCGTTCATGTGTTAAAATAAGATATGACACGAGAAGAGATACCGACGCTCAGCAGCTCGTAACGAGTGTAAGCGGATGGAGTTTGAAAGAGTTCGAGACCGATTATTCGGGTATCGATCGATCTCAGGAACCTTAGTAATATTAAATCTGGATTACGATTATAATTCAGTGTCTCAGGAATTTCATACATCCTTCCTACTTGCGCGACTTTTCGTAACTACGAAGCGATGATATGCTTGTGAATATTGTATGTATGTACTATGTCCATACATAGATACTCGTATCGATCTGATTAATCGATGAAAAAATGATTCATAGTTACGAAACGCGAGTTAAAAATATATTTTTACTCAGAAAGTAAGATTAACTTTAATTTTGTTATCTACGGTTTATGATTGAACGCTGATAAATACACTATAAAATCAACCACCGATCGCCATAAATCATTCACCGATCTTCCTCTCTTTCTTCGCCTTTGTTCTTTTCCTTCTTTCCTTTCCCCGAAACGGTTGCATATCGACTTGTTTTCGACACGATCGACTGCGAGAGGGATTGTTCGCGCTCGGAACACAGTTGAGGCATTTCATAATTAGTTTTTAAACGATCGTTCTTACCGTGGCTTTCGACAAGATTCTCTGTTCGTGACAAAACGGTCGACGTTTTGGCAGTTTGTTTAATTTTCTCCCTGATCGAGTCGAGTTTTTCGAACTTAGACTCGATTGTGTTTCCTCCGAAATGTCTTTGCCGCCTCGCGCTTTAACATAGCGGCTGGGGATCGAATAGCTATTTTATTTTTCGCGCGCGTTACGCGCGTTCTCAAGTATTATAATTACGTTACGTAGTAGTACGTTACGTCCCGATAAAAACTTCCGTGGAAAATATTTATTAGTTGGCAATCTGCGTGAAAAATCGCTAAACAATTAGCGTAATCGGCAAAAAGCGTAGCGAGCGTTGCGAAGATCGGTACACGATCTGTATTTATCGTCTTCTTGTCGTCGATAATCGTCGATCGTGCGTGCGCGCGCGCGCGCGCCCGTGCACGTGGCTACCGATCATATTTGTTTGGCTGTGTTTATTCTCCGCGCGCGCGCGTACGCACCGGTAGATAAAAAATGCCAAAGATAATCGCGACATGGCTTAATCGTATCGCAATCTTTAAAACTAATCATTGTGATCAATTGGAATTACATTAAAATCGTCCCCTATTCCCACATATCGCTTGTCGTCACTGTTCAGAGACCCTGCGCTTATTCTCCTTCCCAATTCTTCTTCATCCTGCGAAAGTAAGATCACGCTCTTTCACGTAGTTGCTCTGACCCGCTCGTTGCTATATTAATTTTACGACGCGTCGCGTCGCGGTTTCAGCATCGCTAAAGGACGGTTTTGATTCTAAGAACCGAATACGAGAGACCGAAACATTTCTTGTGTGAGACGTAGCGGACACAGTCGCAGATAACTTGACGAATCGAATGTTAACCGTACAGCCAGAAAAACTCCCTTTGTACGATCTTGACGAAATCTCTGTTTTTCTGTTAGTACGAACGTTTCCACGTTCGTCAAATACGATGTCGATCGTCCTTCCGTTTGTTCGTTCCAGCGTATCCAGCGGTTTCGCAGAGAGATGCCAGACCGCGTAAAAAACGCGCGCGATACGTAATATTGTAATTTTCTCCTGGTTGCTTACCGGCCGTTCGTGCTTTTATATCTTTCTAGTTATTTATATACTTATCTAACTGAAAGTAGTTGTACCCAACTACGCGTATCTACTTAATTGCCTACCTGCCTACGTCATTTTACCTATCTATTGTGTACGTAGTCGCTCAGCTAGCTAATTAGCTAGTGTACGCGGCACCTTAATTATTTTATTCTTCTGTTTCTTACGTATAACAATATAATTATTATTATTATTGTTATTATTATTATTATTATTATTATTATTATTATTATTATTATTATTATTATTAGTAATTTCGGGATATGTAGGCACTCCGCGTACATACATAATGCATTATATGTACATACGTAGCTAATTAACTGACCCGAGCAAACTAGCCATCTCTGCTGATAACGAACGGCATAGAACGGCAAGAATTAATTTTATGTTAATGGTGGATTTATGTTATTTACTTGTTTGATAACGACGAACATGGGGAAAGAGCGACGATGTTCGACGCGGACTCTTCGAAGGAACGATTTCGACAATTATGATCGACGGTGAACTCCTCCGCGACGTTCGCGGTGGTCGAATGGTACTCGTGCGAATCGCGCAACTATATGGATCGTAGTTGTAGTCAAAAATATTTATTGCATGTCGGAGCGCAGGATTTGTGAAACGATAAAACGGCACGAGACTGGTACGGTTCCAAGCTGAAAAGTAACTGTATGCAACAACGTTACGTTGTTAATAAAGACGTTGCTAACACGCGCTATTTACATATTCGAATGAACACTTGGATCACAATGAATCGTGGACAAAGATTCGACCAGACGACCGGTAGTCTCATAGAAAATCCGAGTTCGGTCATACTTCCCCTCGGCCAACTCGAAAACACAATTAGTGAATGTTACAATGATCTCCGCTTACACGTATTTACACGCCTCTACCCCGTTCAGTGCACGTCTTTTATATCCCTACATGCTCTTCTAATTGTCATCACCGTTATTGTATCACGCTCGTGATTCTCTATTAGATAGTGAACTAGATTAATTTTCTTATTGAATTTCCACGAACGCAGAACGCTCCTCGAACAAATTGGTCTCGAATGACCTTGAACAACCTCGATTTGAGCTAGCAGCAGGCAGAACTATATAGTTATGTATAAGAAGAGGGACGAGTTTCCAAACGTCGCCGCCGCCGCCGCCGCCGCCGCCGCTTAGATAGACAAGAATGAACTAGCGATAGAAGACACTAAACAATTTCCAGGACGATTAGATTCCCAAGTCCGCCGACGTATGTACGTGCGCGTACGCACTGACAGAACAGGATATACGTAGTACGGCTGTAACATGCAACGGTGCCAATGTGTCAAACGTGTGCGTCACGATAACGTCCCGAATCGATGCACACTAATCGTAATCGTAAGCGGGTACCACTGTAAAAACAACTCCGCACGTATCTCGAGTAGTACACGCGATTAATGTAATCATAATCGTAATCGTAACCGCAACCGTAACCGGTAAGTATTGTCATCGATTCATTTTGCGTGAATATACGTGCATACGTTCGCGTTCGCGGCTGATCTAATTCACTTCGCCGCGTGTCTAGGTACATATATGTGACGCATATTTATTTACCTATCGATCGCAATACGATCGTTCTCGTCAACGTCTTTCTCATCGTCTTTCTTTTTATTTTATACTCTGATCTGGCTCGATTCGAGTGTTCCGTCCATGCGTAGTTGGACGAGTTATCTCGTATTCGTACGCGATCCGATCCAGTGTCAAAAGTGTGCAGGAAAAATTTATGCAGTTTTAAAACGTGTGGTTTCTGTATCTGTGGTTATTGTATCTCGCAGAACGGTATCTTCCCGGTTAACTCTTTCGTCTGTTCTTGATCCTGGCTGTTGGCGCCCTCGCTTTTCGGACTGCCACCACCGTCCTCTAACGAACCCCCACCGCTCCCGTGGGGGCAAATTGATTGTCATCTAAGCGCCAGCGTCGAGATCATCGGGGGCCGCGTCGGTTTATTATCCAGAATCCTCTCAATCTCACTCATTATGTTCGCGTTCAGCTTTGGTATCAACTGAAATCAATTAAAAATTAGATTCAAGGATTCTCACACACATCAAATCGCTATTAAACTCGTATTTGATCTTTCTATAAATTATCTCCTTATTTATTAAAATAAGAATGAACTATTGACGATTATCTCCTCATACCCTTACACACACACACACAGAAGGATTCCTGTGAATTACCTGTAAACTTTGAAGACTCTCGTATAGTTGATCTATGTTTGACGCACCGAGGAGAAGGCACTGAACACTTTCATTCTTTAAAGACCACGCGATAGCCAACTGTCCGAATGAGCAACCGAGTCGTTCGGCGAGCGCGCAAACGTCCCGCAATTTGTCCGAATATTTCCGCGTCTCGGTCTCGTCGGTTGATTTTTCTTTCCACCCGTATCCGTCCTGCTGGAAGGTAACAGGATGAAATGAAAGCAAGCGTGCGTAATGCATTTGCTCCGTATAATCATTTCTTTTCTCGAGATGGGAAATAAGATACGTATAATGACGATAGTGAGTACGATGAAAAAAAAAGATGGAAGATATGCATTCATATTTATTATTATCTAATGGAAAAACTAAATTAGATACATACTTCTTTGTACAACGATTGCGTTTCATCTTCTGTCCAACTGAACGACGAATATTTATTCTGAAATTAATAAACGTCGCGAACGCGTTAGTCGTTGCCAACGAACAAACTGATCGAATTTTCATTTTTTGTTTCTTTAATAAGTCTTTGTTCCTTTAAGCATTATTATTTCTTATTGAATTACCTTGTAGGAAGATCTGGATAAAAAAGAGACTCCGTAATCGTCTGGTTTCGAGGAAACCATTCCGATCGTAACTGTGGACCACGCCATCAACCCGACACCTGTCGATCAGACAGAAAAAACTGTACATAGTAAGTTGAAAATTGTCATTGCTCGGACGTTTATAGAGATGTGAACGTGAATTACCAATTTTATTGTACAATTCGGGCATGTACAGTTCCGGTTTTTCCCTGTAGAACAAATGATATTCGGCCTGTTCGACGATCGGCGTGACGCAATTAAACTGTCGACAATTCGTGTAAGCCTCCATTATCTCAACCGGGGTCCAACGAGACGTACCCCAATACATCACCCATCCTTTGCTTATCACATAATTCATAGCGCGTACTATTTCTGAAAGGGAATATTACGAGAAGACGATTGAACTTTCGAATCGAACCATTTCACCCTTTCGTTAAACGTTAAAATATACGCTAGCGTCGTAAACGGAAAACGTACCTTCCATGGGACACATTGGGTCCACCTTGTGTATCATTACGATGTCGATGTACGACAATTGTAATCTGACTAAAGATGCTTGCACCGATTCGATTATGTGTTTGCGTGACAATCCACGTCCCTCCGCCCTGTGATCGTAAGTGTTTCCTGAACGTCGAATCGACTTTCTTCATGAATTTAACTTTTGCGAGTTTGCACGACATTTCGTCGCGAAATACAATAGAACGCGGACAACCAACATGCGATACTCTGAACCGATCTTATCTTCAGCGTAATATCTAACTTACATATCATTTTAAAATGCTTCGAATTAATCTTATCCGTATCTTTGCTCTACTTTCAGACCTTTCGAATTAATTAGAGCCGCAATCGGGAGAGTTATCGGGCCGTTTTATTAAAACGGTTCCACCACTCACTTGGTATTCCAGTATATCTTGGTGGTAACAACGTAGGTCGACCGATTCCAAGCGCGTCGCAACAAAATTCGGCCGAACTGTATCTCCGCCCTGTGCCCGCTGTGAGCCTCGCTCAAGTCGAACACGTTTATCCCGCTGTCGTAGGCGAGAGCAACGACAGCCTCGGCCGCTTCCTCGTTGCTGCAACCCCCTATGCCAAAAGTTGTCCACGTACCTACGCGTACAGAGTAATTTCGTTAGCTCGCGGATGAGTGCTCGCACGCTCTCTTTCCGGATTTACGTGCGCGCGCGCGTGTTTTCTCATTTTCTCGCCTACACCTACCGTTCTTTTCCCGTTCGTCGGCAATCGCATCGTGGGAATCGACCTAGAACATTGCCTACGTATCTTGTGCCCTACTTACGCTCTTTCACACTCTTATCTTTTATTATCAGGAGCCAAACATGTTTTTCGCGATAAGCGTAGACACAGTCTCACATTTTACACGTATTTGTGAAAATATCCCCTGATTCATCGTTTAATAAATTCGACAGTAGCAACGGCAACAAACAACGGCAACAGCGACAGCAACAGCAACAGGAACATCAACGAGTAGAACGATCAATAATTCAGTCAGCCGTTAAACGAAGTCGTTGCGTTTGTTTGTTCGTCCGTTCGTCTAACTGTTATCTGCTATCTGCCGTTCGTGCACATGTATTGCTGCTTATTTAACAGATGAATTTCTATTGCAAAAGCGTACATGAAAAGCTTTCATGCCCATCCCGACCGAGAGACATTCGAGGATCGAGTATCAGTATTATTGGTGCAGCAGAAAAGAAAGACGAATGCCGCGTCGTGGAGCCGCTAGCAGGGAATACATAAAAGGACGGAGTACAAAGCGTGGCTTAAGCTGTCGATAATGGGTATGCGACATATAAATATAGTCAGCATTCAAAGATTTCTGAGGAATGGAAATTCATCGAGGATTCGCTGGGTAGTTTTAGTTAACGAGATAAGGAGGTCGCCGGTGTGTAGTGTTCATGGATCGGGTATCATCGTGAAACGAATTTAAAGGGGTCGTGGGGAAAGGTCATTATGTGCATCGAAGCGATACATCGAGAATGGAATTGAAAACGGATCGGGTAAAAACCGCGGTATCTCAGTTCGTTACTACGAAAGTGGGGGAAAACATTCAGCGTACCTAATCCAACATTGGAAACACGTAGACCGCTTTTGCCCAAGTTGCGGTAGCGAATACCTGGCGAAGGATGCTGTAAGCGTTGCGCTTGTGCGGCAATGCAGTTAGTCAGTAGCTGTTCCTTCGTTCCAGCTGTATTGCAATGTACCCCGGAGTCGCCGCCAACGCCACCGCCGCCGCCTCCGCCTCCTCCGCCGCCGTTAAACTCTTCCATGCAATCCAGACTCGCTATAGGTGCACGGCAGCTGCGCGTATATAAAGAAGTACACACACAATGTATTAATAGAGCACATAGCGATCGATATTGCTGCTCGATATACCGACGAAACACCATATAAACATTTGCAACTAAACATTTGCGGCACGATCATTCCGCGCGACACAAGCTTCCGTCGTTATTGTCCGTCGCGCTTGTTCCTTAAACGTTTCTTGTGGCCACTGTAAGTGTACATAGTACATAGATACGCACACGTACGTACATACATACATACACACACTGATGTCGAAAAGCAGTAATAGTAATAGATTGGGAGTATTCGATCTCTCGTCTCTCTCTCGTCTGTACATACATACGTATAGCGCATAACGCGTACATGTGCATGTATAGGAGCATAAATAATAATAACAATAATAATAACAATAACAATAATAATAATAATAATAATAATAATAATAATAATAATAATAATAATAATAGTATGTTGATGTATGATTAGAGGGTTTCGAGTCTCCTAATCCTACCGATAAATACAGATTCAGATACAGATACGAATAACTAATTTGTTCAGAATACAGTCGGATATCTGGCAATCGAATTACATAATTCAATGAGTTTCTAGTCTAGTAAAAGTCAAAACATCTGATCGAGTTGACAGGAGAACATATTTTAAGGATGTAATGGCTATACAGTCAATCCCAAAAGTTTATGTACCTTAGAAAAACGCATTTCCTATAATTAAAAAGAAATCAGACGTCGGAAGAATAATGCTAATAATAAATAGCTACGTGCTAAAAAGTATAGAAGGAAATATCCAATTAAGTATTGACGATGACGAAAATTTTTTTTTCAAAATTGCGAAAAATGCTTCAAATAAAAGTTGTTTTCCTTCTAACTTCGATATTTAACGACTCACGTATGATTATTTGGCATTTTATTGATATTGACAAAATCCGACCATCCCAGCGTTGAAACGGCGAACTTTTGGCAAAAAATTTCATTTTTCCTTAATTACTCCTAAACCGTTGAATCTATGGAAAAATTGCATATGACCTTTCTTATAGAGGATGACGAGATCTACAATTTCTGTATAAAATTTTTTCGCTAGCATTAATATTTAACGAGTTATTGACGAAAAACGAAAAAACAGTTTTTTGCATATTACTCGTAAACTATTGACGCT